TGTTGTCCTTTGAACTTCGGAGCTAGGCTTGTGTTGTCCTTTGAGCAGTAGCCTTGTGTTGTCCTTTGAACATCCGAGCTAGGCGCAGCAGCCTTGTGTCGTCCTCTGAACATCAGAGCTACGGTAGGCTCCGATGGTCCGCCCTAGCCACCAGCTTGACCGAGTAGTAGAAGGTGTAGGATGGCTATGGTGGACTTCTTCAGTGGCTGTCAGTGAGGGGAGGCTCTGGACATTAATTCTGGTTCATTCATTCATTGCTGTTGTCAATTACTGTTATTAATAAGATGTTGCGGGAGATCCTGGAGGAGGTAGTTGGTGGTGCAATGAGGGAGAAGTGACTTTGGTTCTACCTTGTGTTCATCATCTTCTTCTTCTTCTTCTTCCATCCTCATTCTTCTTCCTCCTCTGTCTTTTTCTCTCCTCAATCTCTTTCATTTCAGTTGCAATTGAACAGCATTGTTGTTCTTTGAGATTCTGCACTGTGAGATACCCAGGATCATAACAACTGTTAAAAGGACGCTATTTGGTTGTGGGATAAGGACCGTAGTTGAAGAAGACTTTGATCGAATACCCGGTCATGAAGATTGCAGATCCATCCTTGCCATTCGCAGTGACCACAAATGCTAGCAAGTGCAGGATAGGGGCAGTGTACTGCAGCAGGAAGATGGCAAGGGCCATAGCCCGGAAGAGTTCAAGCCCACGAGACTACCATCGGAAGAAGTAGCAGACTCTACCCACGAGCAAGAGTTGTATGCCCTCTATGAGGCCCCACGGACATGTCGACATCATCTATTAGGAAGACTTTTTAAGGTTTGTTCATATCTACGCTGGTTAAAAGCACAGGCCCGAATGCCCACTAAGTTGCAGACATGGGCTAGATTCATAGACCAGCTCGACTTTGAGCTGAAACCTGTGAAGGTAAAATACACTGTCAATTTGATTCCCCACGGCCTCCTGCGGCGCGCTGCAGGTTCACCAGCTGAGATAGTTGGCTTGCCCCCCTGGTTGGTCCGTGTAGGCACTATCCCTTCGCCCCTTCCATCTCTCACCTGGGGTTAGGCTCAACCTCAGTGGAATAAGGGGGAACTTGACAACGCACGGTTCGTTCTATTCAGACAGTGTATTGCTTCCCCTGGTTGACTTCCCCTGCCTGATATAGGTAGGTAGGTAGTGAGAGGTATAATGGAGAGAAGAATATAGCTTAGTTTTCGAAGAGAAAGAAAGAAAGAAAAAAGTCATTGCTAGTGCGTTGTAGAGAAGAGCAGATTTCTTACGGATGATTACTACTTACCGAGATACGGGAATCAGATCCAATTTACAGAGAGGTTATGGCTAAAGCAAGGGAGAAACCACATGAATGTCTGGAGTACAAAATAGCTGACGGATTGCTGTTTCTCATATATCCCATGGCAAAGATAGATTGTGCATTCCCTCTAGTAAAAGGGCCTTTACCCGATATAGGCCTCAGGCCTTGTAAAAATAAAGCAGCACGGGCCTTGAAAAARTAAAGCATTGTGAAAAGGTATCCCGTCAGAGCTCAGAAACGTGAAAGCAGGTCAAAGGTCAAGTTCTCTATCAACAGGCATATTTAAAACTAAGGCAAAGGGCATTGTCAAAAGACTTACCTGTTCACCAGGAGATGTGTATGTCATGTCTGTTTGGGTAAGGGTGT